TGACCAACAAGCTCTGGCACATTCAGCAACCTTGTTTTAGGATGTTCTTTCTGCCAGCTGCCTGAGGTCATGATCGTTCCAGCAGAGCACAATTAAGTAGGCAAGTTTTTAATACGCCTATTTATGACCTGGAGCTTCTACCTTAAAAGCATGGTTGTACCTAGCAGCAGGATAAAGCAGGCAGTTAAGAGTGGTAATGTCTTAAACTGAACAGAAAACTGTCAGAGCTCTAAGCCTCAGGATAACCCATCACCATTATGCAGTTACAAGGCTAGGAAGCATCCAGAGGACAAAACAGATTCTCCCCACACCTCTGCATCAGGCCAGCATAGCACGCTTCTTACCAAATAATTCCTCTGGCCCAGCGTGCTGCGTGGGTGAGAGAAACTAGTTTGACCTGCCTCACTACTCTCACCTTGGCCCTCGATAAGCACGTTGTCGAACACGCAGCAGATGATGACCAGAGGCAATACTGTCTCTCAACAGCCCAACAACACGTGCTCGGTTGAGCAAAGCTAAGGAAAGCTGAGAGATGGTGATGTGCTGAGAATTCCTGGCTGCTAGCTGCTCTCCATGTGCATATAGTGGGGGTCTCTCTCAGCTTTTTGATAAAGGAAGAACTTGCAGATAAAAGAGAACTGGCTAAGGAAGTACAAAGGCATTACAGCAGAAGGCTGTGGACATGTTTAAATACAGCTACCTTAAGCCCACGTTATCTTTGTTTGTTTGTCTGTCCTCTCTTCCAGCCAGAAATGTTCTCCAGCAAGATTTTGAGCACTGCCTATATATCTGGGATTGTTTGTATCTAGTAATCCTACCAGGCTGGATGGTACTGCATATGTGCAGCAGCTTCAACTTGGATGTCTTATGTCCAGCAAAGCCAAAGAGGTCTCAAACACACTATGCCAATGTTGCATGGCCAAAGAAATTCCAATGAAATCAGGAGTGTTCTCATACTCTTATATGGTGTCGCATGAATCACAGAATATCCTGAGTTGGAAGGGACCCAGAAGGATCACCAAGTCCAATTCCTGGCTCCACACAGGACCATCCCAAAGTCAAACCACATCTCTCAGTGTTGTCCCAATGCCTCTTGGACTCCGGCAGGCCCGGTGCTGTGATCACTTCCCGGGGGAGTCTGTTCTAGTGCCTGACCACCCCCTCAATGAAGAACCTTTCCCTAACCCCCAGCCTGACCCTCCCCTGTCCCAGCTCCATGCTGTCCCCTTGGGTCCTGTCGCTGTCCCCAGAGAGCAGAGCTCAGCTCCCGCCCCTCCGCTCCCCTCGTGAGGGAGCTGCAGGCCGCCATGAGGCCTCCCCTTGGCCTGGTCTGCTCGGGGCTGAACAAAGCAAGGGACCTCAGCTGCTCCTCATAAATCCCCTCCATACCCTTCATCACCTTTGTGGCCCTCCTTTCAAGGCTCCCTAACAGTTTTATGTCATTTTCATACTGGTGGTACCCAAGGCTGCACACAGTACTCGAGGTAGCATTCTACTGCGCAGAATGGGACAATCCCTTCCCTCAGCCAGCTAGCAATGCCGTGCCTGATGCACCCCAGGGTATAGGTTTTTTTTTTGGCTTCTGGGGCACACTGTTACTCATATTTTACCTGCCATCAAACAGAGCCCCTGGCTCCCTTTCCACAGGGCTGCTCTACAGCCTCTGTACATATAGTCAGCGTTGCCCTGTCCTAGGTGTGAAATCTGGCACTTTTTCTTGTTGAAATTCATGCAGCTGGTGATTACCCAGTCCTCTAACTTGGCAAGATTTCTCTGCAAGGCCTCTCTACCATTAAGGGAGTCAACAGCTCCTCACAATTCAGCATCACCCACAAACTTACTTCTTAGTGTACAATTGAGCCCTGCATCCAAGTCATTTATGAACTTACCATACAATTACGTTCAGCATTTACAGTAAGTCCTAAAAGTATGAGGCTTATTGACGTGTCTTGTGCACCTAACTTTTGCATTGAAAATACAGTAGCCCAAGGGTGGGGTAAGCAATAACCAGAGTAGCAACACAGCCAATGGGTTGCTATACATCAACCATGGTTCAGCTTTCACAGCTTATGCACCTTTTCCTCACTCCCTTGTGATGTGCAGCCACCATTCTCAAGCCATTGTAAAGAAGAGTTGCCACCAATAAATGGTAACTGTCAAGAAGTTCTCCAGTAATAAATACAGCTTCTGGAGACAAGCTTCAGAAGGGAAGTAAGGGCAATAGGGTTGCTATGGTGAGGTGTAAAACAAAGACACAGGAACACAGGGGAAATATATTTATATATATATATTCCATGATGATAAAAGGGCAGATACACTGAGAGCACACAGGGGGGACATAGAGGTACTACAGTACATTTGCAGATAACAGCATAATTCTGGTGGCTTCAGTTGGATCATCTTATTTACATTATGTCAAAGAAAGCTGGGCTCTGCCTTTCATCTACACTTTAATTACAACGAAACTTCTTGGCTATATTAATGATTTTAAGCTTCATGCCAAGTAGGCCCAAATATTCCATAAATGAGGAACAAAGCTGGCTGAAATGGAGTCGGTCTGCTAAGATAGGGTGGTAAAGAGAAGGCAGTCCAACATAAGTTGAAGTCTGTAGTAACCCATCCTCAGCCAAGTTGTACACACCTGTTCCATATCCTTCTCCTTCTGTAATTGACTTTCAGGGTAGCATTTCAGACGTGGTAAAAATTTCTTGTCAGATGACTGCTTGTAACTCCTACTAAAATCTGTGAGAGAGGTGACCACGAATAGAAAACTACATGGCACCCTTTTCTAAGTATGCCTGTTATTTCAGAACTGTGCTTTCTCAGAACTGAACTTACCTCTGCCAAGAATCAAGCTTTTATGATGGTTGCTGTACTGAAAAGTAAGGCATATGCGAGAAAGCAAAATACTTCTAGAGCAGTCAAAAATATTTTGGTTGCAGCTTTGAACTTAAAACATAACTAACCTTTCTGTCTGAATTTACCAACTGTAGAAAGAACAGAATCCTAATGTTTAAAGAACAACCTGATCAGTTTATGACACAAATTATATAACATTGTGCTGCAGCAGCAGTGGATTGAACTCAGTGACCTAAAAAGTGCTCAAATTTATTTCCACCTTAGAAAGTTCCTATGTCTACCTGTCAGCAGCAGGAGATATTCCCAGAAAATCAATTATAAATGTAGGCAAAAATATCATGGAGAGGAAGGAATGTATGAAAGAGAAAGCACAATTCTCCTTTCACAACGTTGTGAATCAAGAGCAACTCCACTGAAGCCAACAGTTACACTGGTGTGAGTGAGAAAAGAGCCAGCTCCATTGTCTGAAAATTGCTCATGCCACCCCTGGAGTCCAATCACAGGAACTGTAGGCAGCTAATATTACAGCATTTAATTCAGACAACCCATGACTGAAAAGACACTGAAAAGAAAGGATCTGAATTTGGTGTTAGCCAAAATAGCTGAAAAATTGCAGGGAAGTAGTGAATGGAAAAAGAAAAGATGAAAGAAAAAAAAAAAACACTGCATTTAAAAAAAATCCCTTCCCCCCCAAAAAAAAAAAAAAATCCATAGAAAAACTGAGTGTTTCTGCATGCTTTTTGTTTGTATGTTTGTTTTTGGTTTTTTTGTTTTTTTTTTTCTTAACACTCTGCATGCTCACAGTTAATAGCTGTTGAGTTGTATGCTTGCCTGAAGGAAGTGTAATCCTCACTTTCCCACGTTTTGTATGTTGGTACATACTTTGTTATACCCACTCAGACTGAGTGCTATAGAATGTGAATCTTACCTTTTCAGCACAGGTCACTATATCATACCTTGTCACATTTTCAGGTAACAGTGCACTAAATACCTTAATTTCTCCCTGTGTTAGTTTACTTCCTCCAAACATACCCTCCTTTTTTTCATGTCAGATCAGTCAGTTGAGCTTTCTCAGCTCCTGTCACCTCCCCATCTGAAACAGCATTTCTGACAGCAGTACTTACTCTCAGTGATCAAACAAAGGCTTGTTCTGGAAAGCTGTCTGGTCACTAACCTCTTCCCGTATCTCAGCCTCCCTTCTTCAGTTTTCTTCCAGCTTTTCTGTCCTCTCTTCTCCATTTATCTCTCATCACATGCTCTTTCATCTAGTTACACCTCACCTGCAGCATTACCCTCTCTATTGGTGTTACTGTCCTGATTATAACCATCCAGAAGCTATTGAGGACCTGTAAAACAGCACATTGTGAGTTTATTATTCTGCATTACAAACCGTTGCACTGATGCACCTTGTCAGCATTATGACAAAACATCAAACTGCATTAAGACAAATGTGCTGAATGTGATCCACAGAACTTTCAAGAACACCATCTCTTTTTTTGTTGTTTTTTCCTTTTCCAGGTCACTCTTTTTTTGCCTCTTTTTGCCTTTCCTACTTTATTTTCTTAGCACCTTTCCCTTTTATGTCACATTTTCTTCCTCCTCACAGTCATCCTTCCCAGCTTCCTTCACTGGCCACCTCACACTCCTGCATGCATTTTCTTTCCTCTGATGCGCCCATACAAAGGGCTGTAATAAAGGCAGTACTGCAGCTTTGTTAAATGTGTCCTTTGCTCTTTCATAAACAGTGCTGCACCTGGGTGCATCCTTGGGATCTGTAAACTGAGGGTCTAGCAACCATTCAATTCCCAAAGGCTTAAACCAGACAGCTCCAAGAGTAACACGACTTCTCAGTTCCCTAACGCGTGAGATGGAGCACACCAAAAACAGCAGGAGGAAGCTTGGAATAATACAAGGCTTTTTTATTCACATGCACATATTTCCTTTTGCATTGTGGCAGTTGAGACTCTTAGCAGCAAGCGCCCTGTAGAATTGGGTAGTGACTAGAATTTGGGAATGTCAGAGCAGCAGAAAATGAAAGAAGATGTCCTTTGTAAAGGCATACAATTGAAAAGCATTATATTGGTGCCAAACTGTACTAAAACCAAACAAATTATTTCCCAAATATTCACTCTGCGAAGGGCCAGAAAGCAATGTCTTTTTATTCAGACTGTCAATTAAAAATTAGCATAATTTAAATAGTGAACAAAATAGCATACGTTGACTCTAGGTTTTTTTGGTTTACGCGTCAGCATCAGATTTTCAGAAGCAGCACATCAGGTAACACGACAGAATGCACACTCGGGAGTGCATCACTCATCTGTATGCTAAAGACAGCTTCCAAGCCTTGCTTAGATCAGTCTAAACTTTGGCACACGCCACAGCAGCTGCACAGCATTCAACTATGCCTCCTTCAGAATGCACCACGGTGCAGAAAGAATGGTTTATTAAGATATTTTAATGTCAGATATGTTAATTTGAAAAGGTTATGTAGTTTCCTCAGACAATATAGTTTGCTATGAATGTCTCTGTCAATTTTCAAGATTTTACAAAAAATTATCTATCACTTTTAGTGATTTTTCCCTCCTTTGCTGCTCTGTGAAAGTCTTGAGGAAACAAGGAAGGAAAATTACTTAGTGGCACAAAGAAACAATGAAACCTCCTGCACACTCACATCATATATGTCTAAATACTGTTGAAAGCCATTTGAAAAATCTTGAGTAAGAAAATGAAATCGTTTCCCACACAGTTCCCAAATACAGTACTCATTAATATTTGCAACAACTACATATTTTTCAGAGCACAACATGATTTTTACATTGTTCTCTCTTAAATACCAAAACTTCAAAATTTCATATTTTGGGGTAGATATTAAAGTGAAAATTATTAAGAAATTAAAGATATTTGTCTGCTCAGGAGCCTCAGAATGAACTATTCTCCCTTGCTAAAAGATATTATCAGTAAAATAAAGACCCTGCTTTTAGAAGTGCTAATTGTTAATACTGTAATTTATTTATTTTTTTTTATTGGCACTCTTACCAACTTCTTACCTAGAGTTTAATTCTTAGTTTCTGTTGATATCAGCAGGTCTAGTGATTTTGCCCCTCTCTAAAGCCTTGATCTGCACATTATTTCATGCAAGCCTCCACACAATTCTAGTCATTCGAAGGAGATCACATTCTGCCCTGCAACTTGCAAACCTATTATCTAAACAGCAGTCCTGGTAAGAAAGATTTAAAAGAGAAGAAAAACTATTTTTACATCCAAAAACACAGAACTAAAGCTTGTCTTTCAGATCACGTGGAGAATTTTTTTAGGTATCTTTTTCACACCAACACTAGTCAACACCAGATATATTTTTACAGACATGCAACACTTGCTCTGATCGACTTACTCAAATGTCTACAAATATTAGGGAAAAAAATATAAAACCCAGAGATAATTAAAAATAAATTCAGAAAAAAATGCAAAAATAAACCTAATAGTCTATCTAATATATATGAAAAAATGTGAAGGTGGAAGTTGCACCACAAAAACATATCATGCAAACATTATAAATGAGTTTGAAAAGTCTCTTTGTGAATTGCAACAAATACACTGTATAAATGCATTTTTTTCTGGAATTGGATATTCACTAATTACAACAGCTTGATTTCTTTCCAGCGTTGCATGTTTATTTTGTTGTTCATGCACATTTTGCTATAATAATTCTATTGGAACTTCTTAAAGCTCTTCTCAAAGAAATTCAGCATTTGTTCATTTGCTGAATTATGGATATTACACATCTGGAGTTCCTGTGGAGATGTCCTCTTTTTCTAAGTGGAAATTACACCTCAGCAGAAACAAGAGCTTCCCCACTGAAAGCAGGAAACTTCAGATTCAAGGTATTTGGGGCAGACCCAGTCCTGTGGTCCGTGTACTATGCTCTGCTATGCACAAGTTAGGAACGTTCCGGCCATACCGTGCTCCACGTGCGTGCACGGAGTGTTGGGCTGGACATCTCTGACTCACTGGATGTGCCAGACTTACCATGCAGCAAGTCCACAAGTTTCACAATTCAGCAAATTCAATGCTCACGTATACAGGCCTTCTGGGTGCTGAACAAACTTACTTGTCAGGTTATCCTAGGGAAAACACATGAAACCAGGTTCCAGGGCAGGCAATGCTCTGCACCTTGCATAATTAATCTAAAAAAAAAAAAAAAAAAAAAAAAAACCATCCCCTTAAAATGGGACAGTCTTTTCACCTTTCTTTTATGTTGTGCCTGTTCCAAAGAATTCCCACACCCCATAATGATAAAAAACAAGCCAGAGAAGAACACAGTACTTCATCCCTTGTAAGCACTGGGGAAGCTGCAGGAATACAAGCTTCTCATGATCTGATTCTTAACTACCAAAATAAACAACACAGGGAGAAGGTAACAGGGCCAGTAATTTTTAGTGTCATTTTGAACAAACTATTTTTTCTTTATATGCACATATATGCACTCTTGGTGTGACTATTTCCTGCTTAAAAACTGCTTGTACCTACAATCATACCAGCCCTCCTGATACAAAGGTCGAGTCAAAAAGAGAACATGTCTTCAAAGGATTCTAAAAACAAAACAAAAGAAAAAAAAAAAAAAAAAAAAACACACACACACAAAAGAACAGGAAATCACTTTAAGATCTCTATTTGGAAATTCTATTTCTTATTTGGCTTTGGTCCAGCATTAGTAAATCAGAAGCTACCATGAAATCTCGTGTTTTCACATGCATAAATTTTTATTCTTTTCAGTAATACACCCATCATCAGTCAGAAAAATATTTAGTACCATAACTTAACTCTAAGCAATTGTCTCATCATCGTTTAATTCGCAACAGGGACTGACCCACTCCTCATGACACCTTAACAATGCATTAAACTCACACCAGCTGATGCAAATTGTGTATTTTTTCCTAATGTTCATTTTATCAGAGAGAGAACAGCATTGCACATTACATGAAGCTGATGAAAAAAAGGCAAGTGAGGGGGTATCTGCCTTTAAATTGTACATGATCATGCAATTGAGGACTTTTAAAATGTCCACGATGGCTCACCAAAAGGTGAGCCATTGTGTTCTATCTGGACTGTTAGCTGGGAGACCTTTTTATTGCCAGTTTGCTGCATTTCACATTGCACATATTTGTAACAAACCAGATAAAAGCAATAGGAGGAATGTCAGATTTCAGTTTTTTAATGTATTGTCTTGCAAGGGTTATGCGCAAATTTACACAAATTAAAATACTGACATAACTTGACCAGTCCTTGCAAACTCTACAGATGATTCAATTTGTCTCCATTGAGAGTTAGTGGAGCTGTAATATTCAGCTGCCTTTAATAGGATTTGGATAAATCCCCAGACCTGGCAGTATCCCCAAAACAATAGTCAATAAATGGCATTTTAAAATATTACTGCAAAAGACACAAGGAAAAAGGGAGGAAGGGAAAAGTAAAAGAAAGACAGTGTAGAGCAAAACCAGAGTATATCATCAACTCCAGCATTTCACTAACTCAGTGCTAGACCTTCAGAAACCTGAACAGCTCAGGAAACTGTCCTCACTTCCAACTCAGGAGCCCATCTTTGCTGGAGAAGATATCACACGTTGTATCCTCACAAGGAGGAGATGGAGAGAGCAAAAAAGGGTGAGGCATTTTTCTTAAGCCTAAAAACGCTAAGGGTGGAGTACTGAAACCTAGAAAAAGACCTGTGATGCCAGCAGCATCACCCCAAGTGCCTGATTTCCAGTCTGAGGGAACAGGAATGTGCTGATAGATGAGACAAGGCTACCTCCCTTCACAGGGAGCATTTGCACTGGCCAGTCTTCTCCTGGCAGCAGGGATCAGGGAAGGCCAAGCAAATGCTGCATGTCTCCACAGTCTCCTTCCAGATCCAGGGAAAGCTCAGGAAACCCCCGTCTTAGTGAAGCAGTGAATATGTACAGAATTTCATCTTGCACTATAAGCAGAGTTGAAGATATATTTTCAGGTAGATAATATCAGACTCCAAAGCTAAAAAGAAGGGCCGTATTTTTACAGGCTGAGCAGCCAGAGGCACCCGGTGACCTCCGGGTTGCTCACTACTTTTAAGTTATGAAACAAGTCTCCTTCTCCTGGCTTTTGGAATAGACAAAAGAACATGAGTTTACATTATGTTACAGGGACTGCTCCCCAAGCATACTACCTGGTAATTAGAGCAAATTGCAACATGTAATTTTGGTGTTGCCTACTATAAATGTTCTTGCTTCATAAAATTGCAATCAGAATGCGTCCAAACTGTTACCAAGCGTTGTGTCATCAGTGCAAGGAGGCTGGCTCTCTGATGTAGCAGGTTGAATCAACATCTGCTCAGTGTAGCTCATGCCTATGAGAGAAAAGTGTCTTCCCTACAAATCGCTACTGATTGTACATTCATACACTGCACTTAGACCAAGATGGATTTCTAAAAACAACCTCTTCCCTCCTCCCCCACTTCCTCAGACTCAATACAGAGAATTTATCACAGCCAGAAAGACAGAAATCTTCAGGCAGTTGGAGGGAAGGCTACCTTATTTCTTTGGCTGGTGTAAACTAATGACCACTTTGCTCTCTGTCACTTAGGGCAGAGTTAGACACCAAAGCACACCAGTGAAAATTAACGTGGAAAGAATAGCAAGTGTAATTAGGAGAATTAATACAATCTTAACAGAGAACAAATCCCATTATTTGGGGAATTGGTTCCAGCTTTGCAGTTATTTAGGACAAGCACTGCTCAAGTGTTTGCAAATGTTGCATCTTTGTGTTTAAACAAACAAGAGCCATCTTAAATATATATGAGAAGTGCCGTTATGCTAGGAAACATGGCACTAACTGTAATGTTAACATAAATATTACAGATGCTATTGATTACAGATACAAATCAGGGCTTCTAAGACTGCATTTCTGTAATTGCAGTGACAGCATCTTTTGTAAGTTCCTGACTCATGAAGAAGTAAAACTGCACTTAGCCCAAACAAAACAATTGAAAGTAACTGCTGCTAAAAAGGACAAATTTTGCTAGAGACTGGCTCTGACATATTCCAATTCTGCCATCAATTGAGATCAGCCAACAGCCAGTACGCTGATCAGCTGCCTGCTCCATCTTGTCCCCAGCTGGTCCTCAATGCTCTAGTCCACTGCTTTGATTTAAAAGCCCTTTTCCAACAGCAGAGCTTTTTACAATATCTGTGATGATGTTATTGTTCTAAAGTCTTCCAGATGCAACTTGAATTTCTATTATTAAAGAATAAGCATTAGAAGCCCAGTCAGAAGCCTTCTAATTAGAGGTTTCCTCTAATCAGAGAGCACAATATCACTTCTCTTTATGTTTTGAAGAACAATTGGAAGCACATAAAAAGTGTTTTCTGCAGAAATCACATTTACTTATGTAACATTTTGTTTTTCAAATCACTTCTCTTATAAAAATGTCTTGCAGAAGCTAAGAAAAATAGTTAAATGCATTTAATATATAACTGGCGTTTTAACATTGTAAACAGTTACACAGTACAATTTGTCCAGTAGCAAAGACTGGCTAAAAAGTTCCTACCCTTTTCCTCGCCCCTTCTCCTACCATTTTGCTAGTTCACCCCACGGTTGTGCTGATGCAGCTGTTTGCCTTGTTTGGATTTGCACAAAATGACCTCACTTAAGAAAATAACAAGTTAAAAAGGTATGGGGTGCAAGTGTCTTGGGGTTAGAAGGAATCTCTTAAACAAGCTCTCTAGTCTGAGAATTTGTAATGTAATGTAATTAAACTCTAAGAATGCTCGCATGGAGGCTTTGTCCAGAATAGATAGCTTTACGTAAACTTAAACCTTAAGTTATTTTGGAGTAAAAATCCTCGACTGACAAACGTGAACAAACCTCATCCAATGGATCTAGAATTTAAAAATTAATTATCATCCAGAAAGCCAACAAAAGCAAAACATTATCGAACAGCACAAGTACTTAATTTTCCTATTGTATTTTAAACTTTCATATTAATAGCTTTATGTCTACTTGTAGAATTCATAATTAGAACAAAAAAGTAATTATTTGAAGTTCCAGTTAAGAAATTGTAAATATAAGGTATAGTTTAGTTACATGGAAAGCGTTTCTTTTTTAACAGTTAAAATTAGGTCACTTAAAAATTGAATGTCAGAAAGTTAGTGACTATTGGATAGTCAAAGCTGCCTACATTTTTTTTTTCAAGAAAAAAATACTTTTGTTTACAGTCTATTTGCAGCCTTTCCTACTGAAGACAAAAAAAAAAAATGAAACTAGATAGAGTTTTCTTCAATTCAGTTTAATACTCACCAGTGTAACTTTCAAAGGAGACATGCACCAGATGTACCAGTTTGCTTCCACGGAGAATAGTCACATATAAAAAGGACAGCAGCAGGTTTTTCTTCAGAGCGTTGTTTACAAATGGTAAATGGAAAAAATACTATAGCATTTTATATTAAAAAACAAGCTATATATTTTCCTATTCAATAGTTTAAAAGTTTTCTTTTGAACAACAGTGACCAGTTGCTTGGAATGAGGGTGGTTTATTTCTCCTTCAGTGAAGCAGTTCAAAGGTTCCTCCTGCATGAGCTGCAGAGGTACCAGGGCCAGCCCTGGTAATTACTGCACTGACATCACTTTCTGTCAAGCGACTCTCAGGGCAAGTGTACTGCTTCCTCTCAAACAAGTTGGTTCTACATTCACTGGCAGCACATGACATCTTTGTGGACTACTCTACTCAACTTTTAAAACAAAAAGAAATAATGAAAACACCTGCAAAGCTTTAGGTTTGCGGGTTGCATGTTGTCACTTCAGTCTTTAAGAAATTCCTTTAACCAGCCTCACCAGCCTCTGACTCTTCCCTCCAGCCTTGCAATTGGCTGTGGATTCTCCTTGGAAGCTATATGCCTTATTCAAGCAAAATTCCCAATGATTAGGACTTCCTGCACGTGTTCTAGGAGATTATGAGGCAAACTCACTGGACAGCTTTCTAGACGCCTTGGAAGTCGGGACGTTTGTTGGGTCAGCTTGTCAGTGTCATGGTCCAAGGCACAGGTACTTCACTGAAGAACGTTTAAGAGGGACAAAATCAGCAGAAGCAGACAAAATCAGTATTTACATTGCCTACAGAGCTTACTAACTTGTTTTTAACACAGTAGTTTATTTTCTGAAAAAGGACTGTGGAGCTTCCTTCCTCTTCTGCAATTCAGGGGCATGTATCTCTATTGTCCCTAATCATTACTTTTATGTAGCTAATTAAGTGGAAAGCAAAACTAATTTTTGAGATTCATGCATCATCAACATAACTATTAATTAAAAGCCCTGCTGCTTCCAAATGTCAGTAATGATTAAGTAGCGAGGTGTTTTCTGTCAGGCTGTCCACAAGCAGGTTACTCACTGGGGTGGGAGGCCTTGCTGTGGCAACGCTTTAATAGTCGCTGCCTCAGACAACTGCCAATTTACATACTTCACTAACTTCAAAAGGAAAAGGACTCAGGGTAACGTGTAGAACTGCAAGAGATGGATGGGAATAGCACGGGTGTTTCTTAACGTGTAACTTAACGACAGGGGCCTCGCCCGGCCGTTGGGGGCCGTGCCAGGGCCCGCGCGCCCGCCCAGCGCGGAGTTTTGAGCCGCGCCGGCTGCCGTAGGCCGGGAGGCGCCGCCCGCTGTAGCGCCATGGAGCCGCCGCTTCCCCCGCTGAGCGGCGCCGCCGCCGTCCTGCTGCTCCTCCCCCTCCTGCTCGTCCCCGTGGCGCTCCTGGCGAGGAGGCGGCGCGGGCGGCGGGCGCCTCCCCTCAGCTTGCTGGTGGTGGCCGGCTCCGGTGAGTAGGGGTCGGCGCGCGGCGCGGGGCCCGCGGAAGGCAGCGGGAACTACAGCTCCCGGCATGCAGCGCGCGGCGAGTGCGAGGGTGGGGCCCCCCGGGGCGCCGCGGTGCGTGCCGGGAGTTGTAGTCGCGGCGGAGCCGTGCCCCCGGGCGCCTGACGCGCTGACTGGCGAGGGAGTAACGGCAGCGCGGGGCTGCCTGGCGGCAGGGTCGGCTTCGGTCCCGTCAGATCCGGTGTGCGCGTTAAAAATAAATAAGTGAAAAGCTTTCCCGGGTGGAATTTCCTGCTGCGAGGCTGCTCCAGCCCCTCACCGCGATGCGCACAGCCCCGGCTCTGGAAGCCAAACTGACCAAAAACCAGCACCGCGCCCTCCTCTGCAGCCCGCTGCCAGCTCGGCGCCCCGATAATAATCATAATAATATTTCATATACTAACAGCAGTTTATTTTGTTTTTTACAGGAGGGCACACAACAGAAATCCTGAGGTTACTTAGTTGTTTGTCAGAGTCATACTCGCCTAGACATTACATTTTTGCAGACTCAGATAAGATGAGTGAAGCTAAAATACGTTCTTTTGAACAAAAAAGGGCTGAAAGGTTCTCCAATTCCCAGGTAACTTGTTAAATATGCTCTTGTAAGATAAATTGATCTCAACATGACATTCTAATTCAAGGCAATTTAGAAGTGATTCTTTAAAAGGTTATTTTTAAGATCAGCTTGTGCTTTTGATTTTCTAGCTATTGATAATCACTTTCACTAAAGTTCAGCTAAAGTGCCATTCTGTACATACTGGATTTTATGTTGCTAAAGGTGAGCTAAATAAATTAAATTGATTGATGTTGTACTAGAGACCCTGAAAATGCAAAGTACTTAAAAATAGCAAATGCCGTTGTCGCTTCCAATTTTCACTCCTACCTTCCTTACTTTCTTTTTAAATGTATTATCTAAGATAAAAGTATTATCTAAGGTTTTATCTAAGAAAGCCTTGATTAAAATTGTATTTCTTTTGTGTTTCTAGACTGTTTTACTTTGTTTTTAAAACTGAGCATTAGTTACACAAGTGCTTAAAAGTATTTAATGCATCTTAATGGCAGTAGTTTCCTGATTGATGACCTGAGCAAACACTGAATTCCTAAAAATAATGAAAAATCATGAAAATATTCTGAATATCTTTTTATCAAATGTTTGCTTGCTTTGAGCCAGTTGACTGTATCATTAACAGACCAGCAGTATGACTCTCTGCTGATGTAAAGTACAATCTGATGTCCAGCAGAATTAGTAGAAAGACTACGTTTTTATTTAGAAAATGGAAGAAGTACAATGGAAGTTAATGTTTCCATTACAAAAATCTTATTCCTTTTGAGCAAGCTGCACATGTCATAAATAACTTATTTATGTGGCATTGATTTCTAATGGTGCACTTACAGTATTTCTGTTGTTTTCAGCAACACTGATAGGACTGAAAACTAGAACTCAGTACTAGTGATTTTCAGAACAGACTCTTTCCTTGTAAAGCAACTGCTGCTAAGGTGAGCAACAAGCTCACTCAGGAATGAAGTTTATAAGTTTGTCTATTCCACTTTCAACTCTAAAGGTGAAGGTTCCTTGCATTCCACAGATATCTGTATCGAGTGGGGATGGCTTCATTTAAAATTCAGTGTGGCTGTCCCTTCTCTTGTTGTGTACCATGGATGAGTTTAGTTAAGTGGCAGGAGGTATTTCATAATTCAGAGAAATCTTGTTTGGTAATTGGCCATTTTCATCAAGAGCCATATTCATTTATCTGAAAAATGTCCAACCCTAAGTTATTAAGTTTATTAAAAAATACATACTTCAATTACTAAAAAATAATGTATTTTTCACTAGTTCACTTAGCTAAGCAACTTCCCTTTCCTACCCCCAGCCAACTGCTAACACATCATGTAGTTATATTTTCCTTGAGCACTGAAAGCCAGAGGAACGTACTTGGCTGCATCTGAGTTTGCTGTCTGGATAACAGATGCTCACTTTACTTTGGCCATTCTTTTTCCACTGAGCAAAAATATTCAGAGTGAAATAGAAGATACATTTTGGAAAGTGAAGGTCACGTGCCTATAGCATGTATTTGCCAACTTTCAGAGTATGCTTTCAACTAATGTGTGCTTTGGCACTGAGGGTGCTAGAGTACATACCCGTTTAAAAATCACATGTTAGTGGCTTCTTGCAGCTTTGAATAAACGAAGGGGAAAACTCTGAAAGCTTCAATCCACAATCATTCCCTTCCTCTTCTCATCAAGGAAGTATATTTTACCAGAACTAAAGACTGGACAGAAGACAGATTCGAATAATGATCTAAGAGAAAATCAATGTACTTCTGTAGCAAATTACCATGTAAAAGCCACAAATATAACCAATTTTTCTTTCTGATACGTGGTTTAGCCCAGATCTAAAAGCAGCAGTATTCAGGCAGAAGGAAAAGAAGCTAAAAGCAACATCTTGCTAACAAGAAACGAAACGCTGCGCACCTACCCACTAAGTCTTCTGGAAAATAAAATCCAAAGAGCCTCCTAAGAGAAGTCCCTGGTCCTGCTACCACTTTATTATCTCTGGCTCCCAACCTGTAACCACAGTAATTCTACTTGGTTGCCCCCACAGCTGATAGCCAGGTTATCTTCTGCAATCAGCACAGAGAACCTGCTTCAGCTCCTGCTGACTTAGTCTAGCAGTAGAAAGACAATTTACATATGTTGACTGAACAACACACATTCTTCAAGGGATCTTGTACCCTATTCACCATGGGTAAGAGGACAAGCCAGATTAATTTGCCTTTACATAATGCTTATTTGACCACATTCTTTTCCATTATGTTTCATGAAAGTTATCATGCTAGGAAATCCTGTTCATCAGCATGAAAAAGGACTACATAAACCTAGTTTCTGTGGAAAAATTGCAGTATATTCAGCTGAGGATATTTTAACAATTCACAGCAATAACAGTTTTCCATGATGCATGCATGCAACTTTTCCCTGCATGCTTGCAAAACTGTGCTATTAAATAGGTAAGGACTACATCGCTGGTTTTAAAACTGCAGTACCCTGTCAACATCACTGAATTGCCAGTTTGGAACATTTGTCTTCAAATAATGAAAAGGTTTCTGATTCTGCTACAGCAGTAAGAAAAATAAATGCAACAGTATGAGACCACAGAACTTAGGGAAGAGTTTTTTGTTTCTAATATCAGACATATTATGCAGTTTTCCAACAAAAGATTCCGGAGGTGCCTTTGTCCAGAATACTAGCAGTACTCCATTAGATGAGACACTGGAGAAACACCTGGCAGTGGCTTTTAAACAAACAGAATCCTATTTTGTTCCCCAGCTAAATATTCAAGAGTCGATTGATGCATGGGCTGAAGTTCTAATATGCAATACAGACGTCAGTGCACAAAGTTTCAAGCATGTATTGCGAAGAATATAGATAAAACCAGTCTGATCTTTACTCCAATTCTACAACTAAATTTCTACTTCTATACCATTTAGGGTCCCTGCCAAATTTTGGTGATTTTTTTTTTTTATGATGGAGAATATTACATACAGTTCTTTGGCAAGAACTTTATTATTTAATACCATCCTTGCAGTGAAGGGAACATCCAAATGCTTCTACTAAAACTTGATCTGCCTAAAACTACCTTGTCAATACATATTTCTTACAGGACGGCATACTGTGAAAGAGTCTAAACTTCACTTAACAGCATTTCTTTTTATCACCTGATCTCTTACAAAGCTTTAAGAAATAGTGATAACCAGAATCCTGTTAAATGGGGAACAGGGGGCACGTTTGTTTTTCCATATTTTGTTATCACACTAATACAATCAGTTACAACACCTTCAAATAAAATATAAAACAGCCAGTTCGTAACATCTGTTAATGCCTTCCAGTATTACAACAATTAAAGAACCTTATTGCAATGAAACGAGATAATTTCAGTCAAGAAAATTAACTTAATATTCTGCATTTGTAAGGGTTCTTTCTTTATTTTCTTTCTACTTCACATAAAAAAGACCTGAGTTATAGCTATTCAAGACAGATTTGTAGTTTGTATTTAATGTGCAACTATTGGTAACATCACCTTTCCTAATCACAAATAAGCAGGGCTAAATTGTATCAGTCAGATATGGTGTAATTGAAGTAAATGGGGGAGTTTTCAATATGTGTAATGATATTTAGAGTCCCTCGCTCCTAACGTTAGTGATCTGGTGTCCCATGTGAAGTTAGTGACCGCTGTCCAGATCTAAACAATATGTCAGCATCACTGGGCAGTACAGTGTACTTAATGTATTTGTTTTTCATCTCAACAATGACAAATTGAATGGGCATCAGGACTACCCTCAGCTGTAGCAATAATTCTTAGGTGCAGTTCCTCTATGTCAAAGACATCGGGGGAGAGTGCATGAAGCCTGAATACCGTTGGCTGCATACAGTGTTCTGAGACAAACAGAAAACATCCGTATTTTGTTAATTCGATACCTTTTACACACATTGGATGATCTCTAATTTTGCCTAAGTAAAAAACAATGAATAGTATTTCTTAAACTTAATATTAGTTTATGTTCTTTCCTGTTTTAAAATGCAAATATTTTGCATTTTGAGTATGTCTTGCATATTCTTCTGAATATTCGAGTACTCACTTAAAGGAGAGTGATATTTACTATTACATTTTTAATAGCATGCACTGGACATTAATTGGGAAATGTTGTTACATTTTCTGCAATGTAAATCCACGATGAGTTTAAGCAGGAAATAAAAAGGAGTCACCTTGTTTGGACTAGTTTATGAAACCTGGAAATGTGTCCCGGTGACCACTAGGAGGGGCACTAAGTTAACATACAGCAGACGAAGTTGCTCCAGCTGAGTTGTTTTTAAATTTAGGAATGTTTTAAAGTAACATAGGAAACGATTTTAAAAATAGATATATAGTTCTAGTATTTTGTTTAACCTCATTCCAAAGAGTGCTAAGCATGATAGTGAATAAGGCATCTAAGAAAGGATTTCATACCCAAATATTTCCAACCTAGATTTAAAAATTAAAAAAAAATGTTGGCACAGATAGGTCTAATAACTCTATAGAAGGAACAACAACATTCTTAGAAAAAATAACAATTCAGCTTTATCATGCTCTCTTACAGTTCACCCTTGATCGCATTCCCAGAAGCCGCGAGGTTAGACAATCTTGGATCTCTTCCGTGGTAACAACCCTGTACTCCATACTTTATTCCTTTCCTTTGACCTACAAACTGAAACCAGATTTGGTAGGTAAATTTTTAAGTATTGAGAATTTGCTAATCTTCACTGTAGAAGCATTTGGAATATCGAGACATTGCAGACTGTATCACGTGTGTGCTTAGTTCTACAGTTCACAGGACATACGTTTTTGAACATTAAAAGCTGAAAGAGATATTGTAGCAATACACCAAGAAACAGAATGGTTTCACGCAAGTGAATTGGTCCAGCAAAACTAGTATCCTTTCTCAAAGTTTTCAGGTAACATTAGGGAGCGAATGCCAGTAGAGCTACCTCAAACAGGTTTGCAGGTTCTTGATAATATCTCTTCAGGATTGCGACAGCACAAACTATGCCTGAAAGCCCGGTTATCCTTTTGGCTGGTCTTGCTCCAGAAATGGTATGACCAGTCTGGAACAGACAGGTTCAGACCAGCAGAAATGTATACAAATTCAGTTCTCGTGCTTACTTGGCAAAGGCCACCTGGTTAGTCAATACTAGGGGATCTACCAACCGAGCTGGACCTGCCCAATCAAACCTGTTACATACTGTAGAAGGGGATAAAGTCTAGCTTTTCAGCTAGATACATAGGTATTTAGTCTATTTGGAGACTAACAATTGTCTGATGACAAAAAGCATCCCTGCCAAAACATCAACTAGAGCCTCTCACTTCTGGTAGCTTTTTCTAGCTGTTCACAAAACCGCAATCCCATGCTAATTACAACATACATTTTAAAACATTCTACACACTTTATCGAGTCAGAAGCATTCAGGGTTGTCAGGTTACAGAAATAAACAAAATAGTAAGACATATCTGATCGATAAAGATTTTTGTTAATGCAGGACTCAGAAGGTAGTGCATTGGACTCCATGGTTTGAGTCCTACCATTCTTTAAGAAAAAAATTGATAAAATCTGACCTTTTGCTAGAGTTGTCATATTAAGGTATCAGATATCCAAACTTGGGATTTAAAAGACATTTTAGCAGAATTTCATATTATTATTACTTTTAATATTTAAATGAGACCTGTATAAACTTGTGCAGTTGCAAGTTATTTTTCATAATTTAGTAACGATGTATATATACCCACAGAGGATGTTTGTAAACTGACTTTTTTAACTCTCGCTGTGAACTGTATGGCTCGTTCCAAAGAGGCTCAAATATAATTGTGTTATTTTGAACATTGAGAGAAGCTGCTGTGAATTGTATGATCTCATGGGCTTCAGTAGTACTTTTCAGTTCCTGTTAGATCAAAAGCTATTTGCTTGCTGAAGTTTTCAGAACAGTTTAATGTGCAGAACAACAAACAGTTTCTTTTCAGTCTTTTTTTCAAGCCTATAAAGTTGGGATGGAGGAGGGGATACTTTTCTTTCTACAGTGATTTTCATTTGGGGAGGAAATATTAATGGGTAGTTTACATGAAGCAGATACCTTACAGAAAAGGTATCAGATATTTAGGAATCACCTTGCTACACCACTGGTTTCATTTAATGTATATATATTTTTAAACTAAATATTGCAAAAGAAACTGACTGCAAATCCCACTGCGTAGATTAATATATTACACAAAGTGTCAATAGGACACATCCTAGGAGAAGAGCAGGAAGTTACTAATTCCATGGTTCCTCTGTTTACAAGAGAAATTTAAAGTGACAGTGGGATTTACATGTAGAATTACCAGAAACATGGTTGGAGTTGATAAGATGTCTAAAGCTTAATGCTTTTGAAAAACACTTGTCCTCATAAAATTAGGAATATGTTTTAGCAAGGCCTGTAAGACCTTTGCAGAGTTTAAGGGAAACACTAGTTCAGAATTCCATCCAAAGATTCCTTATCCATGATTAGAAAAGGGCTTGAGGGGAGGGAGTTCCCAAATGTTTTTTGCCAGATACTATCACTGGCCACAACAGCAGCAGGTACTGCCACTGGCAGGAATATTTCTGGCTTTATGCCAAATCTTATACCACTTCAAAGCAGCTTTGCATACTACACTACTAGTTGTGTATATGTGTATCTCATAGCTTAGGAATTCTTCAAAACACAGTAAGTCAGAGAGCTGTAAAGATCTTAAAGCACTTATCAAAGTAAAGCGATATGGGGATTAAAATGTGTCGCATTGCCAGTGAAAAGATCCTGTGTGATACATGAAGCAACTGGTAATATTTAATTGCCTTTAGAGGAAAATGTTCTCAGTGAATTGCAACTCGCCCTATTCTTGGCAGAACATAAATGATCAGTAGTTTAAGGACCCAGAAAGGGTGGAACAAGTGCTGGAGTTTACAGGATTAATCTATAACTTTTGGCATGGAAACGGACACCCGAATATAGAAGCAAGCACACTATTACATCATGCTGAGAGTTTCATATTTTTGAACAGTAGAGCTTAAGGGCAGAGTACAGTTTCAGTCTAGGCAATTGTTTTTGTTGAACTGCAAGAAGGAAAGACACATTTGAATTGCTTCTAAGTCATTTATACACACATGTGATCCCCAAATCTTTACACTTACTTTTAGGCTTGTCACAAACTTGTTGTTTGAAGGAATACTAGCTCTATCCTTTGAAGTCTTTTCCAGACACCCAAAAGCTAGAGAAAAGCAGATTTGTTGTAGTTTCAGTTTAAGGAATACGGGACAAGAGAAGTAGTGCAAAGGGAGACAGAAACCATTAGGTGCACAAAGGCAAGTTTGGAGCAGATAGGCTTAGGCTGGCATACCTAGCAAAACTATTGAGCCAAAATAGCTATGAGGGGGAAAGCAACAAACCTAGCAGCACAGGAGTTAATTTATATGTACTTATTTACATGAGCACTGTGTCCCCTTTGCATCTCACACTGATCTTCTGGCAAAGCTTCTTAGTTTACTTTACATGAGAAAGCAGTTTCATCTAACCCTTCTTCAAGACAGTGAGTTCAGAAAGAACTGAACAACTTCCAGGAGACCTTTACGGTCTTGCAGGACTTGACCCACACTCAAAATGGGCCCCCAGAGGGTTTAAGAAATGTAAAAGTTAGTTGAGTTGTTCAGTTTGAGATCATATTCAAGAGGCCCATTTCTGAGTTATGAGCATCTGCACTCTGCAAAGTTAAATCCCTTTAGAGGTATTAAACCAAGTAACAGAATTAAGACGTCAGAAGTGATGATTGTCTTGTGTTCTTATAGCCAAATACAGAATTCTAGAAATATAGGTACCAAAATGTTTTGCAGGCACATCTATGTTGGGTAGTTTTTACAACATGTCAACCCTATTTGGGCTTCCTATGCCGAGACCTAAAATTCCAGGAAAGCAAGGCTTGTGCCAGCATGCTCTGTCTACATCTTCCTTCTCCCCCCGCCTCCAAAAAAAAAAAAGTTTAACACCATCAGCTGCAGCCAGATTTAATATGCACTTATAGCCTCAAAGACTGCAAAATCCTACCATGAAAACAGGCAGCTGGTCGGAGAAAAGAGATTTTTATTGCTTTCATTGAGAGAAAAGTGGAGAAGAAACTTAAACCCAAAATAAGGTGTTAGAAGATCTGCTATCTAGGGAAAGATGCAAATCCTTCTCAGACAGATACAGAAAAATAGATGAGCCACACAGAGATTTTCCCAAAGATAGGGAAAAGTTACTGAACTATTTGTTGTCCAAGGAGGCATAATGCTACAGCCTTTCTACAACATGCTTACAGTCAGTAGCTACAAGTTCAGAGGATCCTAGTCCTCAGTTTTCTTGCTCCTCACAGAGCTGTTGTCTTTGTAGTCTCTGGGCCAATCTGCCAACCCTGAAACCAGGTCTTCAGGTGATCTAGCCCTTTGGCTGGATCACAATTACTCCAGGCATTCTGGCATACCACAAAGTCAAGCTGAAAACAAAGGATACACACGCACCACACAATAGAAAAGCATACAGAGATTGCATCCAGCCCTCATTTTCAGCCACAGATGGGATGTGTAATTGGGTCAGTGCTGGACTCTCCTTCAAAGCTCCGCAGCTCCAGTCATTGCTGCATCGCGCATCCTAAACTCTGGGGACACTCCTCAGCAGTGTCTGAGGCTTCAGTGCTCTACAGAGCCTGAGATAAGCAGATGTTTTCAGGCCACTGCTGCTTGGAAAAGCCGGGGTTAAATCAGGCAAAGAAGGCAGTCCTTCCACTTTCAAGCCTCCTTCCCGTGGGAAGTCTCCAGTAAGAAGTTTACATTTGCACAGCAAGTACAACAAGCCGTGCTGCCTCCCTCCCCACCAGCTGTCAGCTGAACAGGACTCTCCTTTGCAAACTTTTATAGAAGCCCGAAATCTGCACAGCTGATTATGCTTCTAGCAGCCTACCAATTCTCGTATGATTCATCTCAGGCCTGCACATCCCATTACACACGCTGGTCCCCAGGCTGCTTCAATTCACTACAGCAAGCTTCTGGAGTTGTTACAGAAGTATTTGCAGCAAACTATATGAAAGGAAATCATTATTTCATTTAGCTAAGATTTTCCATTCTTTGTACCCTGCCTAAAATGTCTGAAGTTCATAGCACTTATGATAAATGGCTGTGATGAATAATAAGCTATTGTCCCGTATATCACGGTTCTTATTAGAACTTGGTGGAAAACTACAAAATCTGGGTGGTGACATTTTTTCCTCTATTCACTTCATAACAAGTGAACTTTGTATAATACAGTATTAAGACTAGCTGGTTCTTTTTTTTTTGTTTACTGAATCCTTCTCCCCTGCTTATAATTCTTTTGGATCAAATTGATTTTACAATGTCTGATCAACTGTTGTTCTTCTAAGATCAAAACAGTCAAAACAGATGAGTGAGAACATCAGGTTAAGACCAGTGATTTAAGTTGTATAGTCTAAAAAGAAAACAAAGTGAAGACATCCAAATTTGTGTCGTAACTTACTAGTGTTAATGAAAATGAGTCACATTTGCCCCTCCTCTACTTTGTATTATGTGTGCTGCGCACAGCTACCCTGCAGCCACTGTGTCGAATTACCCTCTGCTGAGCAGAGATAAACATCTCAAGCTGTTCAGGTTAGCTGCTTTACAGCTAGCTT